GTTGTGGCCATTTAGGGAATGAGCAGCAGATGTAAGATCCACCCCCCCCCCCATGCTCCATCTCTTGTTTTTAAAGATTTATTTATTTATTTGAGAGGCAGAGTTATAGAGAGAGAGAAAGAGAGAGAGAGAGAGAGAGGTCTTCATCCACCGGTTCACTCCCCAAATGGCCGCAACGGCCAGAGCTGGGCCGATCCGAAGCCGGGAACCAGGAGCTTCCTCTGGGTCTCCCACGTGGGTGCAGGGGTCTGAGCATTTAGGCCATTTCCCACTGCCTTCCCAGGCCATTGGCAGGGAGCTGGGTCAGAAGTGGAGCATTGGGGACTCAAATCGGCGCCCATATGGGATGCCGGCACAGCAGCTGGAGGCTTTACCTGCCCACACCACAGCGCCGGCCCCTCTCCCCCTCTCCCTCTCTAACTGCCTTTCAAGTAAGTAATTATTTTTTTCCTAAAGGATTCAGGCCATCTGATGGGTAGGGACCCCTACCCATCTGTGACGCAGGGACGCACTAGGTACTCACGCAGCAGTGAGCGGCGTGGTGTGGACCAGAAGGCAACAGCAGGCCAGGTGGAGAGGAGGGCGGCTACGAGAGGGGCGAGGGACCCAGCAGTCCTGTCTCCTCCCGCTCTGCCCTTCTCAGAGAACCCGGGCAAGGGTGGCGCCCTTCTCCGGGCCTGTCTCCCGCGCCGCGCCGCGGGACAGGGACCCAGTCACACCGGAAGATTCCAACAGGCCTTGGGCGCCTGGCGCCTGGAGGGAGAGGGGAGCCTCCAGATGTGGGCAACCCCGACTCTTCCTACCTGCGGCCAGGGCTTCCCTCTAAGCCTGCGCCCCCCGAGCCACGGCCTCCACTCTCTGCCTCCGTGGGCCTGCGGTCTCCACCTCGCCCCGCCCCTTCCCCGGCCTCTCCAACTCGGTCTCTGCTGGTCTCTCCGGGGTTCGCCAGCTCACCTGGGGGCTCACTCGCTGCCCGCGCCCGCCGCCCCGGGGCCGGCCTCGAGCGTGGCGAGCTGCAGGCGCACGCGGCGGGCGGCGGCGGCGGGCGGCGGGGGCGCGCGGGCGGCTCGGCGCGCCCCCCGGGAGCCGGGCGCGGCGCGCGGGCCGGCGGCGGGCGCCGACCAGCGGCGGGGAGAGCTTGCGCGCGAGGCGGGCGAGCGCCGTGGGCCGCAGGCCGTAGTCGCGCTCCAGCTCCTGGCGCGAGATCTCGATGTTGCCCGTGTACCAGAGGATCCAGCCGAGCAGGCTCAGGAAGACGAGCAGCGCGCCCGAGTAGATGAGCAAGTCGCCGAAGTCGCGGCCGCGCACCTGCAGCTGCGCGAACACGCCGGTCAGCAGCGGCCGCCATGCCCGCCACGTCCAGCGCCACGGCCAGCAGCAGCGCCATCCGGCAGCGGCCCAGGCCGGCCGCGGGCGCGGGCGCGGGCGCGGGGCGCGGGCGCCGGTGCGGACGGTGCTCCCGGCGGGAGCCCCTGCGAGGCGCACACCGCCGCCACCGCCGCCATGGCCCTGCCCCTGCCCCTGCCCCTGCGCTGGCAGAGAGCGTTCCGGGGTGCGGCCCGGCCCGGCCCGGGCGGGGCGGGGTCTGGGGACGGCGCCAGGTGTGCCCAGCGCCCGCCTGGTTACCTGAGCCGAGCTGGGAGCGGGCTGCCCAGGCTCGGTGGGGGGAGCCCCCGGGGGTGGCGTCTAGGACAGAGGCGGTCGCTGAGAGGCCTGTGCCGCACAGGTGGGGGTGGCCCGGGACCCCTACCCTCAAGGAGCCGGGGAGCGGGGGAACACGTGGCCAAAAACTTCCTGGTGCGTATGAGGCGCCTGGCGCTCCGGCGTGCGCAACAGGCCGCCTAGCGCTGAACAGGGGGCTCAGAAGCAATACCGACGGACGAGGCCTCGTGGAGAAGCAGAGAACGAAGTGTCTGGGCTGCTGAGGGAGGAACCAGCGGGCACTGTGGGAGCCCCGTCCCCAGAGTGGGGGCTCCATCCAGTGAGCCGCAGGGCACAGAGGCCCCCAGCGCACCGGCAGCGTGCCCACCGCGGGGCCAGCCCAAGGGCACAGGCAGGGACCCGACACAGGCCCTGCCCTCAGGGAGCGCGGGGAGCAGCTGCGAGGCAAGGTGCACGAGTGGACGGGGCACGGGCACTGTCCCGCCTTTAGGCCGCCCCAGCTCCAGCCTGCGCGCGTGACTTCTGCTCCCCCAACCGACGGCAGGGGACGTCAGGACCCTGGGTGCAGAAGCCAGGGCGGTGGGCGTTGCACAATGGACAGGCAGAGGAGGTGCAGGTAGGGGGGTGGGCACCTGCAGGGGAGTGTCCGGGCCAGCGCCAGCTCTTGGCCCAGCGTCCAGCCAGTGCACGCCCTGGAAAGCAGGTGCGGGGGACCCTGCTCCCCAAAGTGGGCTACCCCGCTGGAGTTCCGGCGCCTGTTTGTGAACATTTTTTGTGTGTGGGCGGAGATCTCTGTCCTTTCAAATAAAATGAAATAAAAATGTTCTAAAAAGAAGGGGCAGCGAAGGCCCCGGGGGAGAGGCTGGGCAGAGCCGAGTGGAACCCCTAAAGAGAACCAGGACGGCCGCGCGCAAACCTCTCTTCCTACGGCGACTTTCCCTCAGGAGAAACCCACGCCCCCGGGAGGAGAGAGCCGCCAGGCGCTTCCATTCCCGGCTCTCCTCGGACTCCTAAAACGGTCAGACCCCGGGGAGACTGCCGGCATGAGCCGAAGGGTTCCGAACGCGGCCGAACTCCTTCCGAGTGTCTCCGAGCAGGCCCGAAGTGGGCTGGTGGGCATGGGGCGGGGCAAAGAGGGGGGAGGAGCCGCCCCTCGGGAGTTTCCGGAGGCTCCGAAAATGGCCGAACGGGGGGCGGAGACAGCCGAGGGCTAGCAGGGACCGGAAACACCAGAAGCCGCCGTTAAGTCTGGGCTGAAGTAGTTCCCACATTCACACGTCCATTCATAAGACAGATGTTTATGAGCGCCCATCGCGTATGAAGCCCCACGCCGAGCTCTGAGTGACAAGTCCTCCGTGGGAGCCCGGCGGCGGGAGTTCGCCACCACACAACGCTCCTCCGCCTCTCCAGCCGAAGAGCTCCGAAGGCTCCCGAGGGGTGCGTGACGGGCCGACGGAAATAGCCGAGCCCACCCGCCGGCTTCCGAGGCGGGCCCAGGGCGGAAGCGGAAGTGCGTGCGCGGTATTAAAGGCTTCGCCCCGCCCCCGGCGTGCCTCTTTCCGTCTCCGGCAGCCTCGGCGCGAGGAGGTGAGCGTGGTCCCTCCGCCTGGCCAGCATGGCGGCCGGCTCCCGCGTTCTCTGCCCTCTCCGGGCACGCGAGAGCGCCCGCGTCCTCCCTTCCGGGTCCCGTCGCGTCGGGCGCCGCCGCCGTAGGCCCGGTCGCTGACAGCTGTGCGCGCCCCGTTTCTCCGCAGCCGCCGCCATGTCCGCGCACCTGCAGTGGATGGTCGTGCGCAACTGCTCCAGCTTCCTGATCAAGAGGAACAAGCAGACGTACAGCACGGTGAGCGAGCGGGGCCGGGCCGCGGGGCCGGGGCGGGGGCCGGGGCACCCCCGCGCGGGCCTCGCCCCTCACCTCGCCCCGCGCCGCCCCCGCGCCAGGAGCCCAACAACCTGAAGGCCCGCAACTCGTTCCGCTACAACGGGCTTATCCACCGCAAGACCGTGGGCGTGGAGCCGGCGGCCGACGGCAAGGGCGTCGTGGTGGTCATGAAGCGCAGATCCGGTGAGCGGGGTGCGGGCGGGGCCGGGGGCGCGCTGCCGGCGTGGGGGCCGCGCCAGGACTGCACCACCCCAGCGCGCTGCTTTTCCGGATTAAGTACTTCTGCACCTGCGGTGGGTGCCGTCTCCTCTCCCAGGTGCGGGAAGGAGGCCGGCTGGGGGCTCAGGGCTGGGCCCCGCCGTCCGCCTGGGGCCCCAGGAGGCCCCCTCCCCCCAGGCCTTGCTAGCTGGACGTTGTCTGCGACCCTGGGCGGCGGGGCCCTCATGGTCCCCCTGGTGCCTGCACGTCAGGGGCAGGGCTGCAGCTGGGCCTTTAGCCTCCCCTGGCCAGCTCTGGCCCTGTGTCGTTCAGGGGGTGGGAGATGTCCTCGGCCGGTCGCCTCCGCTCCCAGGCCTGTGTGTGGGGAGCCCGGCGTCGGGGGCCCTGGGAGGAGCCTGACCTGGTCCAGGGCACTGAGATGCGGCTGGGAGGGCTGAGCCCTGGACTCTGCCCAACCAGGCCAGCGGAAGCCGGCCACCTCGTACGTGCGCACCACCATCAACAAGAACGCCCGGGCCACGCTCAGCAGCATCCGGCACATGATTCGCAAGAACAAGTACCGTCCTGACCTGCGCATGGTGAGCGGGCGCGGGGGCCGGCCAGACTGGGGGCAGCCGGGGGCGGGGTCCTCGCCAGGACTGGGGGCAGCTGGGGGGTGGGGTCCTCGCCAGGACTGGGGGGCAGACAGCTTGTGGGGGCGGGGTGCGCTGATCCAGGACCAGGGGAGACAGCTTGCGGGGGCGGGGTTCTGGCCAGGACTGGGGGTCCTTGCTGGGTTGCGCTGAGCTGACCCTGCCCTGCCCGCCCTCAGGCCGCCATCCGCAGAGCCAGCGCCATCCTGCGCAGCCAGAAGCCCGTGATGGTGAAGAGGAAGCGCACCCGCCCCACCAAGAGCTCCTGAGCCCCTGCCCACAATAAACAGTCAGACCTGTCGCACCGGCCTCTGGTGTGGCTCCGGGCGCCGGCCCTGCGTGCGGGCACTCCCGTGCAGGCTTACTTAGGTGCTGGTGTTGGGCACAGTGGGTCACACACCTCTGCGGTGCCGCAGCCCATGTGCGTGCTGGTTTGAATCGCAGCTACTAAAGAGCAGGTGGGCTGGGGTGTGGGCCCTGCACCCCGTGGTAGGAGACTGGAGGAAGCTGCTGGCGGCCTGCCCGGTCACAGGTGTTGCCAGGTGGGGAGTGGACCACCAGGTGCCTCTCTCCCTCTCTCTCGCTGTCAAACCTTAAAAGGCGTCTGGGAAGGAGGTGGTCGATCCCTCACCTGCTGGTTGGCTCCGCTCCTCAGGTGCCCTGGGCAGTGGGCTGGGCCCGGCCACACCCAGGAATCGTACTTGGCCATCGGCTGCCTCCCAGGTGCAGGAGGGAGCTGGGTAGGAAGCAGACAGCCAGGACGCTGGCCCCGGGGACAGCACTGGTCCCACTGAACAAGCGGGACGTGAGGGCCACAGCTGGGTAGAAGATGCCCGTCCGTCCCGGCTGTGGGTGCTGTGTGAGGAGGAGCCAAGGCTGAGCCGGAGCAGACAGCCAGGTCCCAGGACCGGCCAGAGCCTCAGGTGGGCTGCTGGGACCCCGAGGGGCTCTGTCTGTGGCGGCCAGCAGTCAGCCGTGGGCGCTTGCCCCTCGGCCCTGCAGTGGGTTGGGTCCTGTGGAGGCCCCTCCTGTAGAACACTGGGCTCTGACCGCTGCTCCTGGAGTTTGGGCACAGCCATGGAACCTGCCCACGAGGCTCCCAGGTCTGTGCACGTCAGTCAGCGGGCGCGCTGGCTGCCGTGGCATCCGGATGAGCAGGGTGCCTGGCCCAGGGTGGGCGTGAGTGGGAGCTGTTAGCTCGTGCCCTGGGTGCCGTCCTAGCTGGTCTTGCAGTCCCGTTTCTCGTGCGCGTCAGGTTGTGGGGTGGCCTCTGCGTGCAAGTCCCCCCACAGCCACACGGGCAGGCGTGTGCTCCCTGTCACGGGTGTCAGAACAGGGTTGGAGGGGGAAGGGTCACTGTGACAGGTCTGCGTGCCAGACACTGCCAGGGGCCAAGTCCAGCCGAGTGCTCAAGAGCAAGGGGACTCCTGGGCCTGGGCTCCCTGTGGGGCGTGGGGCCAGGAGCCCTGTGTAGGACTGGGCTGCTGGTCTCCCTGCTGTGTTCCTGCTCCTGCACAGCGGGGCCAACGGGACCAGCATCCGGCAGTGAGGTGAGCTGGCCCGGCCCCTCGCCGTGCTTCAGGGCCTTCCCAAGTACCTGCTCCTGCTGCCCCGTGTGAGCGACAGCCGCCTCCTGGGAGCTGGGGCCCGGCAGCCGCCCGCGAGCCCAGGGTGGCAGAGCTGCAGCGCTGGGTCACTCCCCAGATGCCTCGGTGGCCGGCCAGGGCCTGGTTCCTTCCCAGGTTGATGGGTGGTGGGAACGCAGCCCCTTGAGCCGCCAGCGCTGCCCCCATGTCTGTTCTGGCAGGAGCTGGAGCCAGGCAGCCGGCACAGGTACCTCCAGGTACCCCCTAGGGGACTGCGGTGTCTGAATCTAGACACAAACGCCCACCCCTTCTCACAGACAGGTCTCCCATCTGCTGGTTCACTCCCCAGGTGCCCTCAGCAGCTGGCCAAAGCTGAGAGTGGTAGCAGCCCACTCCTCCTCCCAGGGTGTGCCTCGGCAGGAGGCTGGAGTCCCAGCAGAGCCAGGACTTAGACCCAGGGACCCTGGGCAGCGTCCTAGTCACTGTGCCACACGATGGCACCGTTTAATCGAAAAATCCAGTAACTTTCAGTCTGCCCCAAAGTTCCAGCGTTTCTATCATCCAGGGAGGGAGCGCTGTGCCCTGCCCCCAGCCCTGTGGCCAGTAGTCCACTCTGTGGTCTGGAGGTGCCACGTCCCTGGGGCTGTGGGCGTGACCTGCTGTGGCTGCTGCTCCCGCCTCAGCCCTGTCCTGCCTCCTGGCTCAGGAATGCTCGCGGGGTGACCCTGCTCCATCGGGGCGCAGAGGCCTCGGGCTCACCTTGGGGACTAGCGGCTGCCTTGTTCAGTGCCTGCCTCACTCAGCTCACCTGGCCAGCAGGAACCTTCTCGTTTTCCTGCACCCAGAGCTCAGCACGGGTGCCCGGGGATGCGTGGACAGTCCCTGTGTGTGGCTCACACACCACGGCAGGGTAGGCCTCAGCCGAGGAGCTGCAAGTGTGACCAGAGGAGCATGGCTCTGCATTCCCACCAGCTGCTCTGGTTTGGCCGTGCCTTGTCCCCGTGGGTCCCTGCGCTGGGAGCGTGGTCCCCAGTGTGGCCGTGTGAAGAGCTGGCGGGACCTGTGTTTCAGGTGGGTCTTCATCCGCTGGTTCACTCCCCAGACGGTGACAACAGCCTGGCCTGGGCCGGGCCGCAGCCAGGAGCCAGGAGCTTCTTCCAGGTCTCCCACGCGGGTGCAGGGCCCAGGCCACAGCAGGGAGCTGGATCAGAAGTGTTGGAGGTAGTGGCTTAGCCCCTTGCACCGCAATACCAGTCCCGCATTTTTAAGTTTTTAGACCTTTGTTGAGCTGAGAGGTGGAAAAATCTCTTCTTGTCCAGTTGTAGACGTTTCCTTACACAAGGTAGGAGCACATCACACCGCACCCAGGGCTCATTTTTTTAATGTCATTTATTTGGAAGGAGAGTGATGGAGAAGGAGAAGCAGGAAGAGGTCTTCCATTACTGGGTCACTCCCCAAATGCCTCACCCGGGCTGGGCCCGGCTGGAGCCAGCAGGCAGAAACTCCATCCAGGTCTCCCACGTGGGCCCTCCCAGGCGCAGGGGTGGGCGTGCTAAGTAGGGCCTGAAACCCAGCAAATAGTGAAGACAAGATCAGTAAATCTGATTACATACAAAGTTTTAAAAATGATCTTTTGACGGGTGCTGTGGCATAGTAGGTTGAAGCAGTGCTGGCATCCCATATGGGCACTGGTTCTAGTCCCAGCTATGCCACTTCCCATCCAGCTCTCTGCTATGGCCTGGGAAAGCAGTGAAGATGGCCCAAGTGCTTGGGCCCCTGCACCCGCGTGGGAGACCTGGAGGAAGCTCCTGGCTCCTGGCTTCAGATTGGCTCAGCTCCAGCCCTTGCAGCCATCCTGGGAGTGAACCATTGGATGGAGGGCCTTTCTGTCTTTCCCTCTCTGTAACTCTACCTCTCAAGTAAGTAAATAAAAATGTGGTATAGTGGGTTAGTGCCCTGGCCTGAAGTGCCGGCATCCCATATGGGCGCCGTTTCAAGACCCAGCTGCTCCTCTTCTGATCCAGCTCTCTGCTGTGGCCTGGGAAAGTGGTAGATGGCCCAAGTCCTGGGGCCCTGAACCTGCGTGGGAGACCCGGAAGAAGCTCCTGGCTTCGGATTGGCACATTCTGGCCGTTGTGGCCACTTGGGGAGTGAACCAGCAGATGGAAGACCTCTCTCTGCCTCTCCTCTCTGTGTAATGCTGACTTTCAAATAAATTTAAAAAAAAAAATAGGCCAGCGCTGCGGCTCACTAGGCTAATCCTCCGCCTAGCGGCGCCGGCACACCGAGTTCTAGTCCCGGTCGGGGCGCCGGATTCTGTCCCGGTTGCCCCTCTTCCAGGCCAGCTCTCTGCTGTGGCCAGGGAGTGCAGTGGAGGATGGCCCAGGTGCTTGGGCCCTGCACCCCATGGGAGACCAGGAAAAGCACCTGGCTCCTGGCTCCTGCCATCGGATCGGCGCAGTGCGCCGGCCATTGGAGGGTGAACCAACGGCAAAAGGAAGACCTTTCTCTCTCTCTCACTGTCCACTCTGCCTGTCAAAAAAAAGTATTGTGCTAGGATCGGGGGGATGCATGGTTACTGGGGTCAAGCTGACCTAAAGCCTATGTGAAACTGATACCAAGTATGATCCTAACAATGCCAGTTACAGTCTTAACAATCTCGGTTATAATGGACATTTTCCAGGCACTGGCCTCAGTCATGCGGGACAGAGACAAATTGCAGGCTTATCATTAACCCAGGTGCAGCCTGCCTTCAGGCTTGGGCGATCCTGCTAGGGGTCCTTGCTTTGCCAGCTGTGATGAGGGGCTGCTGTGTCTGAGTTAGGCCATGGTTTCAGACCAGAGTCTCCTGGCGGTGGCGGGGGGCTCTGTCCAGGGTCTTTATTTGGGGCCACTCCCTCTCACCTGCAGAATCCAAGTAAGGGCATCCAACATTTTTTTATAAAAGATTTGAGAGGTAGAGCTACAGAGGCAGAGAGGTCCCCCATCTGCTGGTTCACTCCCCAAATTGCCATAAAGGGCAGAGCTGGGCTGATCTGAAGCCAGGAGCCAGGAGCTTCTTTTTCCTATGTGGGTACAATAACCAAGCACTTGGGCCATCTTCCACTGCTTTCTCAGGCCATAGCAGAGAGCTGGATCAGAAGTGGAGCAGCTGGGACTCGAACCAGCGCCATATGGGATGCCGGCAGTGCAGGTGGAGATTTAGCCCTCTATGCCGCAGAGCATTTATATCCTAAGCAAAGCCATAAACGAAAAGTTTAAGAATATTTGGGGCAGGGGCCAGCACCATGGTGTAGTGGTATCCCATATGGCACTGGTTCGAGTCCCTGCTGCTCCACTTCCAATCCAGCTCTTTGCTATGGCCTGGGAAAGCAGCGGAAGATGGCCCAAGTCCTTGGGCCCCTGCACCTGGGTGGGAGACCCGGAGGAAGCTCCTGGCTCCTCTCTTTGGCTTGGCCGAACCCTGGCTGTTGCGGCCACTTGGGGAGTGAACCAGCGGATGGAAGACTTCTTTCTGTCTCTACCTCTCTATATTTGCCTTTCAAATAAATCTCTAAAAAATTTTTTGGGATGCATTCATGTTGTGTCAATATTTTGCCAAGTAGTATTCCATCGTATGACTTCAGGAAAATTCTTCCTGATTAACTGTCAATAGCCACAGTTTGATCTGTTCCCACATCCCATATCAGAGTGCCTGAGTCAGTCCTTTAGTTTTAAAAATTTTTCTGGGCCGGCGCCGCTAATCCTCCACCTTGCGGCGCTGGCACACCGGGTTCTAGTCCCGGTCGGGGCGCCGGATCATGTCCCGGTTGCACCTCTTCCAGGCCAGCTCTCTGCTGTGGCCAGGGAGTGCAGTGGAGGATGGTCCAAGTGCTTGGGCCCTGCACCCCATGGGAGACCGGGATAAGTACCTGGCTCCTGCCATCGGATCAGCGCAGTGCGCCGGCCGCAGTGCGCAGGCCGCGGTGGCCATTGGAGGGTGAACCAACGGCAAAGGAAGACCTTTCTCTCTTCTCTCTGTCTCTCTCTCTCACTGTCCACTCTGCCTGTCAAAAAAAAAAAAAAAATTATCTGAAAGTCAGAGTTAACAGACAGACATATACAGAGAGATCTTCCATCTGCTGGTTCACTCCCCAGGTGGCAGCAGCGGCCGGGGCAGGGCCGGGCTGAATCTGGGAGCCTCCTCCAGGTTCCCCACACGGGTGCAGGGGCCCAAGCACTTGCACCATCCTCCACTGCTTTCCCAGGCCATGAAGCAGGGAGCTGGATCGGAAGTGGGGCAGCCGGGGCTGGAGCCGGCACCCCATGGGATGCTGTGTGACAGGTGGTGGCATCGTCCGCTCCGCCCGGCACTGGCCCTGACCTTACTTCTGGTCCCACTTTTTTTTTTTTTTTTTTTTTTTTTTTTTTGACAGGCAGAGTGGACAGTGAGAGAGACAGAGAGAAAGGTCTTCCTTTGCCGTTGGTTCACCCTCCAATGGCTGCTGCAGCCGGCGCACCGCACTGATCCGAAGCCAGGAGCCAGGTGCTTCTCCTGGTCTCCCATGGGGTGCAGGGCCCAAGCACTTGGGCCATCCTCCACTGCACTCCCGGGCCACAGCAGAGAGCTGGCCTGGAAGAGGGGCAACCGGGACAGAATCTGGTGCCCCGACTGGGACTAGACCCCGGTGTGCCGGCGCCGCAAGGTGGAGGATTAGCCTAGTGAGCCGCGGCGCCGCCGTCCCACCTTCTTGCTGACGTGAACCCTGGGGGCAGCGGCTGAGGCTCCGTGCTCCTGTGGGGGGATCTGGCCTGGGTTCCAAGCGCCTGCCCTTGGCCTGGCCCAGTGTTGCGGGTGTTTGGGGAGTGAACAGTAGGCAGATGATGTCCATCTCTGCCTTCAAATAAGTAAAAAGAAAACTTAAAAAACAAAAATAGCGGCTGGCATTGTGGCACGAGGGGTTGTTAAGCCGCGGCCCGTGACCTTGCTGGATGTCGAGGTGCTGGGGAGGCCGGCTGCTCCACTGCCCAGCCAGCTCTCACAACGCGCTCGGGAAGCAGCAAGTGAGGGCCCTGCCGCCCGCGTGGAGACCTGGGTGGAGCGCCTGCTCCTGGCTTTGCTCGGCAGGGCCCCGGCCATTGTTGCCATGTGGGGAGTGAACCAGCAGGTGGATAAGCAAATCTTAAAGGCGCCATGAAAACTGTAAGCCACTGTGTAGACACGTTTCCCTCTCGGCTAACGGGGAATGGAACGCTGGGTCACACGGGCAGTGTGTGTCTGATGAGAAATGACCCAACTCTTTTCCAAAGTGTGGGCGCCGTTCTAGGTCCCCACTGCCACAGACGTCAACTGTTGGCAGTCGGTCTTTAAAGATCTGTGTATTTATCTGACAGGCAGAGTAGCAGAGGGAGCGAGTCCTCGGTCCTCCGCTTCATTCCCTAGGTGGCCGCAAGGCCCGGAGGCCAGGCCGGGGGCAGGGGCCTGTGCACCCGGGCCACCTCCCACTGCCTTCCCCGGCGCGCTAGCCGGGACTGGAACCGGAACCGGAACCGGCACTCTGGAATGGGAGGTGGTCGTGGGAGCAGCGGCCGCAGCGCTGATGCCTGTGACGCCCATCTCTGGACCCGCCAGCTGAGTCCGGCACTTCACCGGCCAGAGTTGGCACAGCTGTAAGGGGCGCGGGCTGGCTCCCCCAGGACTGCCCCCGCGGCAGGTTCACAGAACTCAGCAGGCCGCTTTCCTCTGCTGCGAAGGAGCCCTGGAGACAGCACCGGCAGGGCTGCGTCTGGGGTGCTGGGGGCCTCACTTCGCGGCCCCCTTCCTGATGCTGCCCGGGCCCAGCAAGGACGAGCTGGGTCGCAGGCTGCCCCCTGCCCAGGAAGCCCCCGGGACCCAGGGGCCGAGGCCAGGTTTGGGTGTTTCCTGCAGCTTTCTGTCCTTGCTAACTAGGGGTGGGGGTGGGGGCTCCTGTTGTGCGGCAGATGACGCGGCAGCCTGCAGTGCTCGGCTTCCAGTCCAGCCTCCTGCTAATGTGCCTGGGCCCCCGGCGCCACAGGCAGGCGCCCAGATGCAGGATGGAGCTCCAGGCTCCTGGCCCAGCCCTGGCTGTTGTGGCCACGTGGGGAGTGAACCTGCAGATGGAAGAGCTCTCTCCGATGCTTTGCCTTCAAAATAAAGCGAGCTTGTTTCTGTCCTGGGACACCTGGAGCAGGGGGGAGGGGCCCAGTCCCAACTCCTCCCACAGGGCAGAAAGCCCTTTGTATGGTTTGTCGGCAGCTTAAGCGCTGGGCCTTCTGTTGGACAAGGCCGAGAGCCACAGGGCGGCACTGCTGTGCGCAGGTGGCACCCACAGCGGGCACCCAGCCTATCCTGGCCTCGCAGCCCCAAAACCACCCGCCACGGGAGCCTGGAACCCCGGGCAGACGGCAACACTCCAGTGGGGGCACACGGCCGCCAACAGGCAGAGCTGGGGGCAGAGGGCGCCCCCCTCACCCAGCCGTCCTGGGCCACCCACTGTCACCTGAGCACCCACTGTCACAAAGGCGACACACACGAGGCCCCCGTGCGGCCGTGAGAGCCCTCCATGGACGCCCGCGGCCCGTCCCCAGCCTGGCTCATCCACCACATTGCTTTTCCAACTTTATTTAGAAAAACAAATCCAGGTCCCAGTGCCCCCCCACCCTCCCCCACCCAGCCATAACTTAAATAACTTAGAGACAGAGTAGGAGGGAGGGGAGGGGGCCCACTACAGCCGCCGCAGCGCCCGCTTCTTGTCCGTCTTTCTCTTGGCCGCCAGCTTCTTGTCGCGCTCGCCCGCGTGCTTCTTGGCCGTGGGGCCCTCGGCCCCTCCCGGGGCCCCGGGGTCCTGGGAGGCGGCGGCCCCGGTGGCCGGGGCCCGGGCGCCGCCGTGGATCTCGGTGAGCAGCCGGGCCCGCGCCGCGTACTCCTCATAGTTCTCCAGCAGCAGGCGGCCCGCCTCCTCGTTGAGCGCAGACTCGGGGTTGGGGTGGATCAGCAGGCACTTGATGGTCTGTGGGGAGAGGGCCTGGTCAGGGAGGCCTCGCGGGACCCTCCCCTAACTCACAGGCAGGGCCACCCCAGGGAGCCGGGCCCGCGAGACCACCTGTGGCTGTGACCTTGCCCCCGTGTGGCTCAGAGGCCCAGTGGCTGCTGAGGGGGGCTGGGCCTTCCACAGAGAGCTCACTGGCTCACTCTGCAGCAAGGGCTGGGCCAGGTCAAAGCCAGGAGCCCAGAATGTCAATCCAGGTCTCCCACATGGGTGACGGGGACCCAAGAGCTCGGGCCATTGTGGGACGTGGAGCAGCCGGGGCTGGAACAGGCACTCCAGTGTGGGGTCTCACGTGCCCAGGAGGGGTCCTGAGGGCGGTCCGGGAAGGGGTGGGAACTCAACAGCCCATCAGCCACCCAAACGGGGTAGCGTGATGAGGTGGGGCCGGCTGGCGGGGCCTCCCCCACCGCCAGTTCCAGGACGGAGCCCCGCCGGGAAGCCGCCTGTGCTCCTTGTGAGCAGGCGGGGGTCAGCAGCCGGCTCCGGCTCCGGCTCCGGCCACACACGTGGGAGACCTGGACTGAGTTCCCGTGCTGGCTGTGGCCCCTGCTGGGGGCCGTGTGGGCACTGAACGGCAGACGGGGCGCTGCCTTCCGTGATAGGCGCTGCCCAGTGCTGCTCCGACCACCGAATTCTCCCTGCACCTGCACACGGGAGGCAGGGCCGCCAGCCCCCAGCCCCCAGCGGCCCAGCCAGTGGGCCCAGCCCTGCAGCTGCGCCGAGGCGGCAGGCGGGAAGCACAACCCCTCCCCGTGCCCGGGGAAGCCCCAATTCCCTGTCCTCCTAGGGTGGCCCCAGGTGACCCGAATGCGCTACGCGGCAGCAGCTGCGCCCCAGGCTGCGGCGACACTGCAGAGGGTCCTTGGCGAGTTACAGCCGGCCGACGGCGGCACCACTGCGAGCACGGAGCCTGGGCCGGCCTCCGCAGCTCCGTGGGAAGCGCGCACGCCGCGGGCGCCGGCCACTCACCAGCAGCACGTGCCGGATGCCCAGCTCGGCCGTCCAGTCCCTCTTGAGCACGTTGACGCAGATCTCGCCGTTGGCGCCCACGTTGGGGTGGAAGATCTTGGTCAGGAAGTAGCCCTTGGGGGGGGCGGCGGGGAAGTCCTTCCCCAGCAGGAGCTTCATGCGGAACACGCCGCCAGCGTAGGGCGTCCCCTCTGCGGGCGGGCGCGGGGCGGTCAGCGGCAGAGGCTCGGGACGCCCAGCTCCGAGCCCACTCCCCAGGGCCCGGGCGAGACCTGGGGGATGGGCTTTCTTGTCCCCCGAGACCCCAGCACCCTCTTGGCTTCCTGGGCAGAGCTCCTCCGTGCAGCCTCCCGGGCAGGGGGCCCAGAGATCCAGGGCAGACCTTGCATGTGCCCACGGGCCACGGCCACCGTGGGAACTGTGCTGTCCTCCTGCCCCCGCGGCCACACGCCGCGGGCTTCCTGCCTGGCCTGCGGGTCTGGGGGCCCTGTGTGAGCCATCACAGCCTGGCCTGCAGGTCTGGGGACCCTGTGCGGGTATCACAGCCTGGCCTGTGGGTCTGGGGACCCTGTATGGCCATCACAGCCTGGCCTGCGGGTCTGGGGGCCCTGTGTGGGTATCACAGCCTGGCCTGTGGGTCTGGGGGCCCTGTGCGGCCATCACAGCCTGGCCTGTGGGTCTGGGGGACCCTGTGCGGGTATCACAGCCTGGCCTGTGGGTCTGGGGACCCTGTGCAGGTATCACAGCCTGGCCTGTGGGTCTGGGGGCCCTGTGTGGGTATCACAGCCTGGCCTGTGGGTCTGGGGCCCTGTGCGGCCATCACAGCCTGGCCTGCGGGTCTGGGGGCCCTGTGTGGGCCATCACAGCCCGGCCTGCGGGTCTGGGGGCCCTGTGTGGGTATCACAGCCCGGCCTGCGGGTCTGGGGGCCCTGTGTGGGTATCACAGCCTGGCCTGTGGGTCTGGGGACCCTGTGTGACCATCACAGCCTGGCCTGTGGGTCTGGGGGACCCTGTGTAGGCCATCACAGCCCGGCCTGCGGGTCTGGGGGCCCTGTGCGGCCATCACAGCTCGGCCTGCGGGTCTGGGGGTCCTGTGCGGCCATCACAGCCTGGCCTGCGGGTCTGGGGGCCCTGTGTGGGCCATCACAGCCCGGCCTGCGGGTCTGGGGGCCCTGTGTGGGTATCACAGCCCGGCCTGCGGGTCTGGGGGCCCTGTGTGGGTATCACAGCCTGGCCTGCGGGTCTGGGGGCCCTGTGTGGGCCATCACAGCCCGGCCTGCGGGTCTGGGGGCCCTGTGTGGGTATCACAGCCCGGCCTGCGGGTCTGGGGGCCCTGTGTGGGTATCACAGCCTGGCCTGTGGGTCTGGGGGCCCTGTGCGGCCATCACAGCCTGGCCTGTGGGTCTGGGGGACCCTGTGCGGGTATCACAGCCTGGCCTGTGGGTCTGGGGACCCTGTGCAGGTATCACAGCCTGGCCTGTGGGTCTGGGGGCCCTGTGTGGGTATCACAGCCTGGCCTGTGGGTCTGGGGGCCCTGTGCGGCCATCACAGCCTGGCCTGCGGGTCTGGGGGCCCTGTGTGGGCCATCACAGCCCGGCCTGCGGGTCTGGGGGCCCTGTGTGGGTATCACAGCCCGGCCTGCGGGTCTGGGGGCCCTGTGTGGGTATCACAGCCTGGCCTGTGGGTCTGGGGACCCTGTGTGACCATCACAGCCTGGCCTGTGGGTCTGGGGGACCCTGTGTAGGCCATCACAGCCCGGCCTGCGGGTCTGGGGGCCCTGTGCGGCCATCACAGCTCGGCCTGCGGGTCTGGGGGTCCTGTGCAGGTATCACAGCCTGGCCTGCGGGTCTGGGGGATCCTGTGTGGCCATCACAGCCTGGCCTGTGGGTCTGGGGGACCCTGTGCGGGTATCACAGCCTGGCCTGTGGGTCTGGGGACCCTGTGCAGGTATCACAGCCTGGCCTGTGGGTCTGGGGGCCCTGTGCGGCCATCACAGCCTGGCCTGTGGGTCTGGGGGACCCTGTGCGGGTATCACAGCCTGGCCTGTGGGTCTGGGGACCCTGTGCAGGTATCACAGCCTGGCCTGTGGGTCTGGGGGCCCTGTGTGGGTATCACAGCCCGGCCTGCGGGTCTGGGGGCCCTGTGTGGGTATCACAGCCTGGCCTGTGGGTCTGGGGACCCTGTGTGACCATCACAGCCTGGCCTGTGGGTCTGGGGGACCCTGTGTAGGCCATCACAGCCCGGCCTGCGGGTCTGGGGGCCCTGTGCGGCCATCACAGCTCGGCCTGCGGGTCTGGGGGTCCTGTGCAGGTATCACAGCCTGGCCTGCGGGTCTGGGGGATCCTGTGTGGCCATCACAGCCTGCCCTGTGGGTCTGGGGGCCCTGTGCGGCCATCACAGCTCGGCCTGCGGGTCTGGGGGTCCTGTGCAGGTATCACAGCCTGGCCTGCGGGTCTGGGGGCACTGTGTAGCCATCACAGCCTGCCCTGCGGGTCTGGGGGCCCTGTGCGGGTATCACAGCCTGGCCTGTGGGTCTGGGGGCCCTGTGCGGGCTAACCACAGTACCGACTCCAGCTCTCCTCCCAGACCAGAGGCCTAGCAGACCTAAGAGCCGGTGCCTCCCCACCGACTTTCCTCTCTGTCCCACAGAGCCCCGTTCCAGCTGGCCACCAGGGCTAGTGCCCCTTCAGGAGCTCCTGTTCGCACCTCGCTGGCTTTGTGGGAACCCAGGGGCGAGCAGGGACGGTGTGCCCGGCCCCGGCTCCCGCCAGGCGGCCCCGGCCGCTGGCTGCAGGATGGAGTGCGGGACCCTCTGGCGCACCTGCGGCCGGCAGGCTCCCGCCCCCTCCGCGGGTCCCCTCGCTCACAGCCCCGTCCTGAGCCCGGGCGCGCGGGCTCCCAACACTTCCGGAACAGGGCCCGCCCGTCGCTGCCCCGCGCGGCCCCGCACTCACCCGGGCCCTCGATGGTGACCTGCAGGTCGGTGAGGTCCTCCTCGTTGGGGAAGACCTTGATGCCGTCGGGCGGGTCGGCCGTGAGCATCGCCACCTCCTTGTACACCAGGCGGACGATGTGCGGAGGCAGGTTCTCCACATTGGAATTCTGGGCACGGACGGGAGGCAGCGTGAGCCGCCCACAGCTGGGGGCCGCCCTGCGCTCGACCCTGCAGCCCAGGCCGCCTGCCAGCCGCGCCCGGGGCCTGCCATCCCTACCCCACCGATCTCGGCCGAGGCCTGGAAATGGCGGCGGGACGTCCTCGCTCCCGCTGACAGCCGCGGGCGGACCACCAGGCGCCCGGAGCCCTCCCCGCGGCCCCGCCGGGCCTCCCGCGCCGGGACACCTGCCGCACAACCAGGCTCCGGCCCCGCCTGCGGGAGGCCCGGAGTCCCCGCCCCGGCCTGCGCCCACCCCGGAGGCCGCCCGCCCGCCCGCCCGCCCGCTCTTCCAGGACAGCCCCTCGGCGGCCCTGCCCGGCCCGACCCCCGCGCTCACCATGACTGCGGCCGGCCGGGGGCGGGTCCCCCCGGCCCCCTTCTTGCGATCTCCGGGGAAGCCAACCGGGGCGCGGGGAAGGGGTCAACAGCCGCCGCCGCGGTCCTGGCGCGGACCCGCAGCTCCACTCCGCGCCCCTCCGCCGCCGCCGCCGCCGCCGCCGCCGCCGCCGCCGCGCACACCGCACGCCGCTCCGCCCGCCGCGGGAGCCGAGCCGGACTGAACTCGCCGTGCGCGCCCCGCCGCCCTTTTGTAGCCCCCCGCAGGCCACGCCCCCCGCAGGCCGCGCCGCGCCGCGCCCGGCTCGTGACGTCAGCACGCACGCGCCTCCGCGCTCACGCGCTGGCGCCCCCTCCGCGCAGCTCAGGTAGAAGCGAGAGAGGCTGGGACGGGGGCTGAGCGGCGGGCCGGCCCGCGGGGGCGCGCAGGAGCCGGGAAGCGCGCCGGGAGAGGGCGGCGGTTGAGGGCGCGGAGCAGCGAGGAAGGGGGCGCGGGAGATGCTGCGGCCGTTGATTGGGCCGTTTGAATCGGACGCCCGAGTTACGCGCGCGTGCCCCGACGCCGAGAACGACGCGCACGCGACTAACGGTCGCCCTGAGGCGCGGGGAGGGGCGAGAGGGGGCGGGACTCGTGGGTTTTAAACGGGTGACGGAAGGCGCTCGGGCCGAACGGACGCGCACTAGCGATGGGGGAGTCACGAGGCTCGCGCGGACCAATCCCTGACGGAGAAGGCGGTGCCGAGGCTGGGGGGCGGGCAAGAAAGGAGCGCGACCAATGACTACCCAGAAGAGCGCGGGCCAAAGTGCTTCCAGCCAACGAAATGTCTTGATTTTTTGTATATGCAAATGAGGCGTGCAGTGCCCGCCGAGCCCCCTCTCCCTGGGCCGGGGGCGGGCGCGGGAAATCCCGCTTCGTTTTTCTCGGAGGCGCCATTTTGTGCCGGACATGCCCAGGTCCCCGAGGCTCAGAGCCTCGCCGGCGTGGCGTGGAAGACGTGCTTCGCCGGCCGGCCCTCTGGGGTGTGGCCCCTGACCCTCGCCTGGCCTCGGCGAGGACGCGGGGCCTGCTTGCGCGTGCGGCCGGGGAGCCCTGGGGATGCCCGGGAAGGAAGGGAGGCGCGGGGCGTGGCTCTACCTGTGACGGACAGGCGGCTCCCGGCCTCTTCCGGGACGCCCCTTCCCGGTCAGGAGTCTGGGAAGGGCGTCGTGTGCGGACGCGGGTGTCCGTGGCCGGAGACGCCAGGCGAGGGGGCGGCCTTGAGGCCCCGCGTGGCCCCGTGCGCTCGTGGGGGCAGCGGGTCGAGGTTGGCGGGGCCCGGCTGTCGGGTTAGCCCGTCTGACAGGCGAGGAAGCCGGAGGTCCGGCCCGGAGAGGCGGAGCTGGCCGTTAAACTGGGCCCACCAGAGCACAGCGGGCCGGGGCGGGAGCGCCCGGTGGGCCGGCGGACACCTGCTGCACCTGCCATGTGCACGCACCGTGCTGCGGGCGTTCCGCGGGGATGACCACGCTCTGCGGGCGCTCACACCCTCGCCCGGGTGGGAGTGGGGGGGGGGGTCGCCTGCGTGCCCTGGCCTCTAAGGAGCCGCGGGAAAAACATTTTGGGAAAGACCGGGGGAGGGGGTCCCAGGGCCACCCCGGAACTCTGGGGAGGCTGGAGTCTGGGGTCGTGGCGGGGCCCCTGGATGTGGTGAGCGGTGTGTTCTGTGGGTGAAGCAGGCCTGGTGGTATGGGAGATGAGCCCCTAAAATCTATACCAAAGTGGGGCCCCTTAGAGTTCCCCAGAATGCCATCTGGGATGTCACATGTTACCGGAATTTGGGGTGCCATAGGATATCACCACATGCTTATTAATAAATCCCCAATATTAATAAGCCCGAGAGGGTTCCTGCCTAGTATTTAGAAAGGAGTCCTAAGTACCGGCACGGGTAAACGAGGCAGCACGGCACATCTCAGGCTTTTATTTAGTGAGAAAGATGCATAGGAGAGAGAGCGTTATCTGAGAGAGAGGGGCAAATCTGGGTTCATACGAGCACCAGGAGCCGTCCACGTGGAGGAGCACCTAGGCCAGCAAGCCTAGGCCGGGCGGCCGAAGGCCACGCACCCTGGACACGCAGGGCTGCAGCCAGCGCCCTCCTGGCCAGAGGCCAGGGCAGAAGAGAAGAGCAGGACACACCATGTCCCGGGCTTTTAACCCACTTCCGAAGGGGAGTGGTTAATTCACCTGATGGGCTATGGGCACCAGGTGTGGCCAGGTAGGGGCGTGAGGTCACACAGGGGCGTGGTGAAGGCGTGGTCTTCCAGCCCACAAACCTAATCGATCTTATCTGTATTCCAGCCTACTTCAGCGGCAGTGCGGGTGAGGGCGCAGGAGCAGGTGTAGGTTGGGCCTGGGGAGGGAGGGGTCACTCGCACCCTGAATCCGGGCTGTGCACTTCCGCTCCCGCCCCCGCGGTCTCCGACTCTGCATCCCCGCCTCTGCCCGCCTCTGCCCGCCCGCGCAGTCAGCTCTGCTGCAGCTTCCGAGGAGGCTCCCTGCTTTGAAGGACAAATCTCACAGGCCCCACCCGCTCAGATCCCTTCACGAGCCCTACGCCCCCACTGCTTTTTTATTTTTTTAAGATTTAATTATTTGAAAGGCAGAGTTACAGAGAGGCAGAGAGAGAGGTCTTCCATCTGCTGGCTCACTCCCCAATTGGCCGCAATGGCCGATCCGAAGCCAGGAGCCAGGAGCTTCTTCCAGGTCTCCCTCGCGGGTGCAGGGCCCAGTCTTGGGCCATCCTCCACTGCCTTCCCAGGGCATAGCAGAGAGCTGGATCGAAGTGGAGCAGCCGGGACCTGAACTGGTGTCCATGTGGGATGCCTGCACTGCAGGCGGCAGCTTTACCGGCTGTACCACAGCGCTGGCTCCTCCCCACTGCATTTTTGAAAATGAGTCCCAAATCCCCAAGGCCTGGAAGCCTTGGATCATCTCTTGGGTGTGCCCTGGGCACCCGTCCCCGTGCTGCTGGTCTCAGCCTGTCCCTCGCCTGACGACGTGGAGCGTGGGGTCCCTGGGCCTGGCTGTGTTCCGCCCTCGTCCTCCTCCGAGGTCCCTCCCGACAAAGCCATTCCCCTCGCCTCCTTTCCCACGTTCTGTTCTTTGACCTTTGCCTCCCTGCCTAGAAGATGGGGGCGGAGGGCAGGTGTCGCAGCCCTCAGGATCCAGCAGATGGAGGTGTTCTTTCAGCAGGCCCTTAGCACCGGCGGTGACGCCGTGCCGGGCGGTGACCTGGTGCTTGGGGTACGCCAGACAGCACATGGACGCCGCAGGGCTGGCTGTGGTGGGGCAGACAGGAGCAGTGTGTCAGGAAGTAGTCCATCCGTGCGGTGGACGGCAGGGGCGGGGGCAGGGCGTGTGGTCAGGGAGGCCTCCCGGGCACTGGTGTCAGCTCCGGCTCGCAGGGGGTCAGCTGTGCTTATCAGAAGGGCGGAGTGGTCTCAGGACAGCTGGGCTGAGGTGTGAGCTGGTGGCGTGTGCGACTGCAACAGGGTGGGAGAAGGGGTCTTCTGGGCCTTCTGGGCTACAGGTAGGACGCCGAGGGAGTCGGGAGCCGCGGCGGGTTTGGAGCTGGGTGTGTGTGTCGGGTCAGGGCTTGCTCGGCGTCTCCGCGTCCCTGATGGCTGAGTGGAAGCAGCTGTTGGAATCACCCACAGAAGGGACGGGTGTGGCTGGGACCTGGGCTGCAGTGGGCGAGGCAGAGAG